GGGAGGGCGAAGTGTGGCACTGAAGAGGGAAGGACCTCCTAGTCGGGGGTCCAGAAAGGCCATTCTGGAGGAGCTGAGGCCAGGCGGGGTTTTGAGGGCTGAGTAAGAGTTTGCCAAGTGAACAGAGTAGCAAGGTGGTCAAGGGGAAGGAGCGTTCTGAGTAGGGAGAACGGAGAGCAGGAAGGGAAGGACCGCGTGTTCTCTTGGAGAGCGGGGCCAGCTTCCCTGAGTGTGTCCCTTTCTCCCCGCAGTCCTGATTCCACCTCTGAGGACACACGCACCATAAAGGTGAGCTTTTAATAGGTAGGGTCGTCATGCTGCCTGGGTTCAGACACTGAGTGGGGAGCTGGACGTGCCTGACTCTCCTCTCAGACTAAAATCCCCCTTTTAGAAGGCTCTCGGGCCCAAGATGGCGTCCTCTTGTTTCCTTTTTTTTTTTTTTTTTTTTAAGGAACAGATACTCTATTTATACCAGGAACTGAAGGTTCTTAAATTCCTGGTGCTCACTTAACAGAAAGAGTTCGTGAGTTAAAATGTTCATCGATTCCCAGTCACATGCTGGGCACTGTGCTTGGTGCTGAGCAGACATGTGTAGGTGCCTGTCCTCCAGGAGCTGTACTTTGTCAGGAAAGCGAGACATTGACTCTAATGATGCATGTGATGGTACCAAGGAGAAGGGCAGGTTGCCATGGTGACAGCCTCATGAGGAAGCTGACCCAGTCGTGGGGTTGCCTGCTGTATTTGTCATCTACTGCTGTGTAACAAATCACCCAGAAACTTGGCTGCTTAAAACAACACACTTACTATGTCACACTATCTTCTGTGGGTTGGAACCTGGCACAGCTTTTCTGGATCCTCTACTTCAGGGTCTCTCCCAAGGTTGCAGTCAATGTGTCACCAGGGCAGGGCCTCATCCGAAGGCTTGACTGGGTAAGGTTCTGCTTTCAAGCTTGTGTGGTTGTTAGCAGAATTCAGTTCCTCAAGAGCTGTTGGAAGGAGGGCCACCGTTCTTTACTGGCTGTTGGCTAGAGGCTTCCCTCAGTACCTTGCCACTGGGCCTCAGCAACATCAGAGGTTGCTTGCTCCATCACAGCCAGCAAAGGAGAGAGCTGCTACCAAGTTGGAAGCCTTCATCTTTGGTAATCTGAGCACCAGAGTGACAGCCCATCACCCTTGCCACGTTCTCTTGATGAGAAGCAAGTCACAAAGCCCAGGCCATAGTCAAGGGGAGGAGATTACAGGGAGTGAACACCAAGAAGTGAGGCTCTTGGGGGCCATCTTAGAAGTTACCTCCCGGGACTTCCCGGGCGGTCCAGTGGCTAAGACTCCATGATCCCAATGCAGGGGGCCTGGGTTCGATCCCTGGTCAGGGAGCTAGATCCCACGTGCCGCAACTAAAAGATGCCACGTGCCGCAACTGAAAGATCCCGCGTGCCGCAACTGAGACCCGGCGCAGCCAAATAAATAAATAAATATTTTTTTAAAAAAGGAAGTTACCTCGCACACCTCCTTTGCCCGTGCTGCTCTCTGTTCCTCCAGGAAAGCAAACCCTTAGAGCCGGAAGAAGAGCAAGTACCAGTGTAGCACCGTGTAGAGTGGCAGGGCCCGCACACGCGTAGGGGTGTGTGTGTGCACGTGTGTATTTTCTGTGTGGGTTACCGACAGCAGCAGCTGTTCTATTGCTTTTTAAACATTTATAAAAGTATGTAACAATAGGAATTTCTTCTTTTTTGAACCCCGTGACTCATGGCCTGTCTGAAATGACTGGCTTATTTCCCATCCCAACCAGAAAGGATGATAAATTCTGGGTGGTTAGGTCACTCTTGAAGAAACAAACACTTGGGACCCAGGTTCCTATTAGTCTAACTCGGTCCTGTGCCATTAGCCACTTCAGTCACTCCGTGACCTTGCACTTCTGTAAGTGGGAGATTCCCTGAGTTGCTTTTGCTGCCAGGGCGATTGGACCAAATTGTTCTTTCCTTCTACAGATAGGCTCGGAGAGGAGTGGGGAGAAACCTTTATTTCTAGTTTTAGATTGACATTTAGCCTTTATTTCTATAATTGATCAAAGGCAGAGGGTGTGAAAATGTTGGAATTGTAAGCAAAATCAAATCAATCACTTTAAAGTTTCCAGAGGAGGTTGTAAACAGCACGTCCATTTATTTTTCTGGAGGGGAAGAGAGAATAGTGGAAAGCGGATGGGATGTTTCTTAAGGGCCAAAAGGGCCAGCCAGGAATTCCTGTTGCAAGTTTCTCTATGTTAGAGATAACGATACTTTAAAATTCAAGTTAGTTAATTTGAATTAACTAGGCTAAATCGGCCCGTTAATTAAAAAGAAGCCACCAATTATAAGCAGGATTTTCCTTCATTTAG